TCTCATTTAGTACTGTCTTTTGTACAAGTTCGTAAAAACGTCATGAGAAAATATCATGTTTTTCTCATATCCATTTTTTTTTTTCGTATAATCAAAATAATTTTTAAAAAAAATTGTTGTATGAAATGTGATTAAAACTTTTGAATGTTATGAATGAGACGAAACAAGAAATATTCTTAGCAATAAACTAGGTGATAATACTTTTTTTTTTTTTGAATGAATGTAAAATTTATTATTCAATCAAAGTGCTTTTTTACAATAACGTTTTCAGATGAGATTTAATCAAAACATGGTGAATTAGATTGAGATAGAGGCTTTCGCTACCGAGTCATGAGCCAAATTCTATCAGATTTCCAAAACGATTTATGATGTAAGGATCACGATACCGTTGATCTTGTAGTAAAACTCTTGTCTTATTTAAACTTAATTTGTAGGCATGTACATTTGGGATCCTCAGATCAACTTATTCTGGGCGGTTTTTGTCTCATACCCGAATTTGATATAATAAATTATTTTCAACATTCAAAGGAACACCAAAGTGGATCAGGTATAACATACATGGTCTGTGTCTAGGTATATGAAAGGCAAGATATGCTACTGCACAAAACCCATGATAAACTATAGAAAATTATGTTAAAAAAAAAAAAAACTATAGAAAATTATGTAACTTAGACCTTAGGGTCCAGAATAATTTTAAAATTCTTTAAACATGTAATTAATGTCTATATTTCAAAAAATTGAACATGGTCGATATAATTAAGAGGAACATAGACTTCCATAGTCATTAAATCGCTCTTTGCAATCACATTCAAAAACATATCCAAGAAATAGTCGATGCAAGGCATCAAATATCGTGGGGGCACATCAGAAAGCTCGTTTGAGTCTTTTGCGGAATCACCATGTTGATCAGAGATAATGCTCTAGATGAAGAATATTTGAAGTTCTGAAATCCTATGACCTCCCATCATATTCCGCAGCAACCATAAAATAGTCACCTTCTACAATATATTTTTGTGAAAATTATTTTCATATTTCTAAAACTGAAAACTTAAAACCTATAAGAAACTCGAAACCGAACCAAACGGAACACATGATTTCATAGTAGTTTCAATTTTTAAGACTCAACCAAATCCAAATAAAAAACTATATTACCCATCATGACATCACTCATGAAAAACATATCATCATATCTCATTTCTTATGATCTTAAAGCAATTCCAATCACAAGGTATAACATTAAATCTGATGTGTTTCCTTCTCCAACTGAACTATAAAAAACTGCATTATTTATAGTATTTTATGAACAGTGTGACACTATATTAAATGTGACACTATTTACAGTACTAAACATTAAAGTATTATTTTTTGTTTTCTTATTAAAAAATATGATAAGCTGTTATTTATTAATTGAATAAAATCTGTAATTAAACAATAAGTATACCATAAA